TGAGAAACCTGGTTTTAAAATTACTGTAAATCCAAAACTCGCCTCAAAATCATGAAACTTGGCATGGTGTTATGACATAGCACCAACATGTTGTGGTAAAAATTAGTCCAATTTGGAACAAGTTTTGGTACAAACTTCTTACAAACCGGAACTTCTCTCAAAAAGGCTCATGGTTCCAAGAGGAAACTTGTCACCTATCTATGTGAAACAACATACGTTGTCTCTTCCCGCCTTGATTTATTTAACAGAGGCAACATGCAACTATAGGAGCATCGTCCTAAAAATAAGAAATTATTCATGGTTTGTTTTGCCTTTTTATACATTATTTGAGTTTTCTAGGCATTTTGGAACATACTTTGGTGTGTGCAAAGGTCATGTGTGTACTAACCACCTATGTAATTGAATGTTCAATCTGTTTATGGAATCAAGTCCTTATAAGTTATAAGTACATATGTTGTTGTTCTGTGTGCAATGACATCGCACACAGATCATACTAGGGAACCCGTCGGCGATGATTTCATCAATCGCTGACAATTGTATACCACCAAGCGTTTGCCCACAACACACACGGCTTATTAGTAGCAATCGCCTGTATTATTATCAGTCTTCGCACACAATTCTGATTACAGACATATTTGACGCGTATCACACACATCTTGTTAAATTGAACCGTTTCTATTCTCTTGGCTCAAAGCAAACAGTTCATCCAAGTGAACCGTATGTCGTATATCGCACACACCTTGATATGGCTGACTGTTTCTTTTTTGTTGCCTAATCACAAACAGTTCATCCGAGTGAACTGTATGCTATATATCGCACACGCCTTCATCTGGCTGCCTGTTTCTGTTGTTCCGCCTCATTGCAAACAGTTCATTGAACTCAATCGTATGCCTAACATCGCACAAGCAACTAAAATCTGAATCATGTTTGATGTATCCGCCATTGCAAAAGTTTTGCACCTTTTTTGACGTTTTTTTACATTACCATTTGTGATTAATGCATCGCACACAGTTTCATCAAAGGGTCTCTGATCGTAGTGTCCATTAGCAGCATCCTGCAGTAGTGAACAACCCTAGAGTTCGTACTAAAATAACACCATATGATATGCATCAACCAACTCTAATGTCTCCTAGATACTCCAATGTCACCACAAGTATCCGTGAGATGATTATACGATGCGCATCAAACAACTTCAGATTCATAATATTCAATCCAACACAAAGAACTTCAAAGAATGCCCCAAGATTTCTACCAGAGAAAGTAGGATGAAAAATGCATTAACCCCTATGCACAGATTACCCTAATGTCACCTCAGCAATCCGCGAGTTGAATGCCAAAACATACATACATTAAGTGAATCAATATAATACCCCAATGTCACCACGGGTATTCATATACAAGACATTCATCAAGTGTTCTCAAATCCATAAAAGTATTCAATCCGACAATAGTGAAACCTCAAAGGTAAAAACTCAATTCATCACAACAAGATAGAGAGGGGGAAAACACCATATGATCCAACAATATTAACAAAGCTCGCGGTACATCAAGATCGTGCCAAATCAAGAACACGAGAGAGAGAGAGAGAGAGAGAGAGAGAGAGAGACCAAACACATAACTACTTGTACATACCCCTAGCCTCGAGGGTGAACTACTCCCTTCTCATCACGGCGGCCGCTGGGATGACAAAGATGGCTTCCGGTGATGATTTCCCCCTCCGGCAGGGTGCCAGAACAGGGCTTCAGATGGTATTTTGAAGGTATAGAGGCGTTCTGCGACGGAGTCCAAGTTCTAGGGTTATTTCTGGTAGTTTCTCTATTTATATGATTTTTGGCGCCGGTTTCATGCGAAGATGGGCCACAGGGTGCACACTATCCACCAGCCCAAGGCCACCCCCTGGGCGCGCCGTGGTGGGTAGTGGAGCCCTTGTGCTCTTCTGTCCCTCCCACGAAACTTCAGGGGTCCCTTTTGTTTCAAAAAAAATCGTCAAAAAGTTTCAGCCCATTCTGAGAACTTTCATTTGTGCACAAAAAACACCACCACGGTAGTTCTGCTGAAAACAACGTCAATCCGGGCTAGTTCCATTCAAATCAGACCAAAACCATATATAATTATTGTGAACATGGCATGCATACTTCATAAATTATAGATACGTTGGAGACGTATCAGTGTCTCATCAGCTATACCTTCGGGATCCCGCATCTCGGATATCATCCGTGCAAGTCCATCTCCACCTCGGTCAACACACTCGCCAAGCTCTCCACCAACACGGTACTGCTCTTCCACGACACGTCACTCTATCGTAGCTTGGCCGGCGCCCTTCAGTACCTTACATTGACATGCCCGACCTCTTCTACGCCGCGCAATGGTGTTGCATGTTCACGCACACGCTGCACGATTGTCAGTTTTAACTCGTGAAGCGAATCCTCGGGTACGTGCGCTGCATGATGCATCTCGGCCATCGGATTCATCACGCCACCACCACCGAGCTCGTCGCATACTCTAACACCGACTAGGTCGGCTGCCTCGACACATGTATGTCTAAAGAGACAAAACATCGTCTCCCCGGTCTAGTGTCGAGGCGTAGTACCGAGCGGTTGCCAATGCCACAGAGTCAACGTGGCCATGCCAGCTCCTCAGCTAACTCCATCAATCTCTAGCGCGCACCACAATAGTCTACTACAACAACATCATCTCTATGTACATGCCAAGCAACCTGATGCAACATCAACGCATGATGCATACTAGATCAATCTTCACTTTGTGCGAGAGCATGCCACGCTTGGTGAAATACGCGTTCTTCATGTGCCACGAGCTTGCAGTCCACTGATATTTTGACCAAAGGCTTACCGACAGGCATCTTCCTCAAATTCTGGTCCAGTCTCAATGTCGGCGAACCCAAAGTTTCGAACAACTCATGCACTATGTGCACATGTACAACTTGCATGATAGGCATTATCGACTAGTGTCGTTGTACTATCTCCCTATCCCCCTCTCTCGTGCAATTGTATATATAAGCACACAATGCCAGTTGATACAATCAGGAGAGAGTTTACACCGCCTAACTCTCTTAGCCCTCTGTGAAGCTTTCCATGAAGCTTAGATAGGCCACTTGCACATTTTCAAAGTCTACTCTCCCGCATTTCCATTCTAACTTTTTTTAGAAAATTTTCAATCTTAACTATGATAGTCAACTTAACCAACAATGGTGTTAAAAATACTTAACCAACAACGTGCTTTTAAGATATCTCACCACTTATGTCGAACGGTAACCAACAACGTGTTGAAATGACCCCCGTTAAAAAACATGTTGAAGCAAACAACTATATAGAATCTTCCCCGCGAAAAGAAATAATAGAAATTCCTAAACATTAGAATCTAAAAAGAACTCAAAATCAAATGGGAAACGTTACAAATCAACCGACAGATTACGTCGCTTGCGTTGACCGCTTCCCTTTGCTGCCACATGTCCCCTAGTACAATGCACCCCCCAGTTTCTAGAAATATCCGGGCGACCCCGTCCCCTTCCTCTGGTGTTTCACCATTCACCCTTGTTCTCTCAACCCACTTTTTTTGATCTGGATGAAGCCCAAATACTAAGATCTATGTCGGCTGCTGCAAGGTGCATGCATGAATGGTGTTTGGAAGGCGCTGATGATGCGGGCTAGGGCTCCGCTCGCCACCTTGTGCTTGGCAAATCCATGCCCGTTGTTGCAAGGTGCCGTTGATGCGGGCCAG